ATTTTGTTTAAAACAGAAAATTTGCTCAGCAGTAGGCAGGAGCTGAAAGGTCTGAATTTTAAGGCAACACGATAATCTTACCGTAAAACTAGTTTCACTTGTGTAAGGGCTTTGATGGCCTCACTTCTGCAGTTTTAGAAATTGCTGGCTGCAACTGTCCACCCCCCTTTATGTAGAAGGCCACCTTGAACCAAAAATTCCTTACATATCAGATGCTTATTCTAACAGTATAGAATATTAGCACAAACCATTGATGAAGGTAGCTTTATGCCAGTATAGGCTCAATGTAGCAGAAGAGCAAGGGGAAACTCTTCAGGAGTAAAGGCAGGTGGGATGAGAGCTAGATCCACTAATTTGCCTACCAGCCATAATTCTCAAGTTGCAGTTCTTACGGCATACATTAGTAAAATCTCCTAAAATGACAGTCTGCATTTCCCTTATATTCCATAAGATTTACATTTCAATAAGGAGTAGCCATGAAAACATTCTCCAAATTGCCAAATACCAACAGCTTAAACAAATCTCAGAGAAAGTAAGCAATTATCAATTTCCCTTAATACAATTTATCAGCACCTGCTCTAGCACTAACACAAGCTTCATACTCAGCTAGCAAGAGAAATTAACTACCTCCTGCACAGAAATTTCCCTTTTCAGCCCTATATATAGTCATTTTGTCACATGCTCAAGTCTGTTTCTCTAAAGTCAGAAGTATAGAAATCACATCTTTGAAAGGTACAGAAGTTAAATAGTTCTTCCTTATCCAGTCATGGTAACGGTATACAGCCTCTGGGAAAGTTCAGTTGTAGTCCGTAAAGGAGTTGAAGACACACTCTGCATTCAGATCTTTGCACAGAACTCCTCAGCATCCCTTAAAACAAGACACCGACATCTTTGTGGAAAACTAGTATGGAAGCAGACAAATAACTGCAAAGTGGCTTTTATGCTGTCAGGAGTCAGGCATTCACAACAGCATTTCACGTGGACGCAATGATTCTGTGATATATTGCAGAACCTTTCTAATCCACAGCAGCAGATCAGAAAGCAGCAAGTTACAAAGAAAGCAGTGGCAAGTCATCTATGATCTAAAGCGTTTTATAACAATCTTTTATTCATTCTATATGAAAAAGTATCCATCATTAAAAACATCACTGAACTTACAGAATTATCAGAGAATTGACAATTAACATTCAAAGAGACGTCCATTACCAACAAAACTGTTCAGCCACACATTGATACAAACTATTCAAAAACTAGAGGGAGAAAACATTCTCTGAAAAGGTTCAGCCTAAACAGGGTTTGACAGTCCATGCAAGGAATAAATAAGTAAATAAATAAACACCACCATTGCGATGTATCATAATAATTGTATTCCAGGTATACCTTAAGTCTTCTCCCAGGAATTTTTAAAAGCAAAATCACTTTCATAGACCCTTACTGCACCCTACAACAAATTTCAAACATTAGCTGGATGCATGGCGTACAGTAGTGATACCTTAAGAGTTAAAGTTAGTAATGTTGCAAGCAACCTACGTGCATAAGACTTAGGCCTTGTTGTCTAGTTTGCTGATGATTTGATAAAGTCAGTAGTTACTTAGTGGATTTATAAAAGATAGGAGGATTTGGGAGAGGATAAAGTAAGAAAGATAATGACGATTTGTCAAGGTTGCTTGACCAGGAGGAACGAGAACAAACAGCGCATGGAAGATAAAGGAAGAAAAGTAACAGATGGACAGTTGGCAGTAGGTGCCAGCATTGAAAGGTGAAAAGTTAAAAGTGAGAAAGACGTTTTGCCTTCATCCAAAAGACCCCCAGATGCGACCACCAGAACAGATTGCGCATGTGTAAAAACGAAGGAAAATATGTTAATGGTTTCTTAGAACTCTCCACCTATTCCTAGAAATAATTTGCATGACCTATGAATATTAATCTAGAACATGTATTTAGACTGTAAGAGGCAGTACAGAAGTGTGCATGATAGGTGGAGTGATCCCCCATGCACCCAGCACTGCAATAAAGAATCCCTACTTTCTAAAAACTCTTTGAGTCTTAGAAAGTTTCTTTTATCCGTTGTTTTCAATATCAGTACAAAGGGAAGAAACAGTCTTTCAGTTGCAAGATGTTAACTACTGCAGCCTGCTAGCAGTTATCTATAGGCCTGAATTTGGTTCCTTTCTGCAATTCACCAAGAACTGCTTTTGGAGATTGAACTATGCCATAAGGGACAATCAAAATAACTTAGAAATGTTAATAAAAATTTAATAGTTGTTTAAATAGATGACATCTTCACTGACACTCTCTTCCTCCATTCTTTAGAACACAACTTAATAGAACACCTCACAAGAAACATGTATAATTACAAGTTTGGCTGATGAGGACAGAACTTGTCACTGCCTCACAGTGATCTACACACAACACCTGAAAGACTCTTTGTCTCAGGATGTACCATGCATAGGTCTCCTCATACATTATAAGCATTTGAAAGAGTAATTTCAGGGGAAAAAAAAAAGATCATTCCTTTGGTTTTGGATTAAAGATGGGAGGAGAGAGATGACTTTTTTTTTCCATTTGCATGCTAAAAACGTCAACATCTGCGGATGGCGATAATGGCTAACTAAGTCGAAAAAAGGTTACTTATCACAGGAAGCAATAAGTGGCTAAGGAATCTGGGAGAAAAGCAAAAGCAGTTCACTGTTCTCTTGTCCTTACTCCTCCAGTGCATATATCTTACAGTAACATCAGGCCTAATAATGGAAGCTGCAGAAGAGGAATCTGGAATCTTTTCACTTATGCTTATATTCTGTATTTCCACACTGTAAAGATAGGACAAATCTCCATGACACTTTCCAATCACCTCCAAAAATTCAACTCATTGTTGACTCATGCTTGTGAATGGAGAATAAATGCCCTGTCAGAGCAGTGGCTTTGGAAGTCTACCTCAGGTTCCATGAGGCAAGTAATTTGACCCATTTGGTGAAGCAATGGAGGGAGGAACTGAAACAGGCAGACAGAATGTACTTCCCCTTCCCAAAGGGACGTAGCAAAAATACTTCATTTGAAGACCATAATCCATTTACATACTCAATCACAGAATGGTTTATATATAGTTAGTCCCACACTAATTTGTGCCCCATTGCATTGTTAATGTCAGTAAAAATGAAAAAACACCAGGCTAAAATTTTTGTCCAAAAATATTAAAACAAAACAAGGCTTTATCCTCACTGTATCTGTTACACTTTGTCCAAATTCAAGCCAGTTTTAGTCATAAAATCATAATCATACACCATGGGCTATTATCACCTGGACGCGATAACCTTACATAATTTGAATAACTGTTACAGATTAGAGCAAACGTATTCCTGATAAACAGTTTCTGGTGGTAGCATCTAACATTATGCCTAAAAAGCATTAAAAATTACTGCAACTAATACAGTACTTTTTACACCTACGTATTTCAAAGATATTCATAAAATGAAACCTTGAAGTGCCAATATTCCATGTGGATCAATATACACAGACTGCTGCTGATAACTTCTGTCAAATCTTGAAAGAATCTGACATGCAAGAAGGTGAACTGAAGAAAATTAGCTCCACTAACTACCCAGAAGCCTTTTTATCTGGCCTGGTGCCATTTATGCTGCCTCAGATACAAGGCTATACAAATCTAGACTAGTTTTCTTGAGGATAATGGTCAAAATAAGAAGTCTGAATGAAGCATTTCATGAATATAAATGCAAGCCTTTTCTGAAATTCTTACAGAATGACCTGATCTTGGGAGGGATTTCTGCCTCATTCTAGTCAGTCAAGAAATAGAAGTACAAGATTAATAAATTGGTATGCAAATAAACTATTTACTCTGGTGTCATCAAGCATGATGCCAATATTCCAACCCTTGCCATTCTGTGATTAACAAGGATAAATGTTATTAAAAAGCACCCTTCAATTAAGCTGCTCCTACTCAACAGACTGAAACTTTTGGTAAAATAAGGTATTACCACAGTATTTCAAATAGACTAGATTTTATATTTCACTGCAGGAATAGACACACATTGTAGCAATGAATTTCAGAATTTAAGAGTGGAGATCATTGGGAAGAAAGGGTTGGGAAGGAAAATGCACATACGGATTTTCTAGGAAACAAATACAAAAATATTGGGCATGTCTTTGCAATTTGTGAGAACAGTATGAGTATAGATCAAAGAACTTTCTTTCACCAAGATTTTAACTAAACACCTGTGAATTAATTATCATCTTGTGGCAACCCATACAAAAGCATGATCTTAAAGCATAAATTTATTTAAGATGCAAGGCTACTTTGCAATGAGTCTTGGGAAACTGCTACAGGAAAAGGCAGTTTAGTTAATAAATTCATGTGCCTGTTCCTAAAAAATGTAAATATTTATCTCTAAACCTAATGGATTTCACTCACAGAGTATAATTTTTTAATACACTGTTTCCACACCAACAGAAGAGAACTTTTCCACAAGTGCAGAATTTTGAACAGGGCAAAAGCAACTTGCACTTGTAGATAAGAAATTCTAAGTGAGCATTCAACAAGTGGTGGTGTTATGCTTGCTTTTCCCTGAAAATGATTCAGTAAAGCTTGAAAACAGTTAGTTATCAACCAACTAGTATAATGCTAAAGCAAGAAAGACTAAGGGAAGCACTCGCTGTAGTGCTGCAACTGGGGGGCTTCCATAAGTGCAGACAGACCCCATCGGACAAACACTGTTCACTGGTTTGGGGTCCACTCCTTAGAATAAAGGAATAATTCAAAGATGGAAAGAAAAGCATTTCAATCATTGAGAGGACTGATTTGATTACAGCGTGTTAGCACTCTCTTAAAGTGAGGAAGTAGTATTAGAAGTATCTTTAACAAATATAGGTTTAACAAAAGTTAGGGTTTGAAATATAAATAATTTTATTTAGAAAGAGGGACAAATGTATTTTCATCAGTTTGCATGATTAGGTACTAAAACAGGCACATAAAAAAATCCCCTTACCTCTTGCCTACTTTGAATCCTCAAACCAAGATCGGAGTCCTTGTGTCTAGAACATACTTTATATTTTAGGAAAAAAAAACACAAAATGAAACCCAGTTATTATCACAATGGAACAGTATGAAATACAATAACCTGAAACACGGGAGATAAGATCCCAGTCCATTTTGACCTTAGCCCCAAGACACAACTTTAACTTCCAAAAGTCTCTATGTCCAAATGATTTTTGGGAAAAGTCATTCTGAATGAACAAAGCATGCCACAATGTTAAAAAAAAAAAATAAAAATCCTCAAATAACTTCTACTGATTGCCACTGCTCAGTATAACAAATTTCTTACAATAAAAACAAAAATTTTGCTTAGTAAGTGATAATAAATTTTGCAATGTCCTTCAACAAAGCAACTAATTGACCCATGGCTTTCATTATGCCAATACGTGTAATCAAACTAATAGTTCAGATACAATAAGAAATGTCAGAGACAATTATTCATAAATAAAGAATATACGTTAGACAGATGTATTGTACCTCTCAGATTGTTCTTTCAGGTGACAAACTAGAAAAAGCTGTGCAGCACAACACATTACCTGAAAAATCAGCAAACACTGCACTGTCAGTGCTTATATATTTCCATGAATAAATTACATTTAGGGTTACAAACATTATATTAATGTTTGCATGCACAGTGCAAGAGAAGATAACAGAGATGACCTTTCTGGCATACCATCATGCATAATCCATGCAAAAGTTGTATTATATCCAGTAACATCACAATGATTATACAATAATCAACTAAAGAAAGTAACATACACAGACTGTCTGGCTATGCTGAGAGTGAAAAGAAAGTTCTTAACTAAAACTGAAAAACCTGACAAGACAGCCATTTGCAGCAAATGTTAGCATGTCAGCAAATAACATGATACTCATTTTGGCAACCTGAAAAAATAACTTTCCTCTCCTAATTAAGCGAATACTGCACAGCACTTTCTCGCCCACAAACAACAGACAGAGAATGCTTCCTACCTTAAATCAAAATGATTTTATGCTAGTCACAAAGCAAAGATATCCTTAGTTTCCAACAATAAGGATCGCCTCAGTTTCAAACAAGAAGGATCCTTATTGCCGCCAAAACACAAGCTCTTTAAATGTAGGCAAAGTTTTAAGTTATTGCCAGTCACAAGGTCAGAATATGAAATAGTTATCTGTTAATGTCAACCTAAATATATGTCTACAGGGATAATAATAAGTCTCCTTCTTGCCAGTTTGCAGAGAGATGGAAAATAATGGTAGAGCTAGTTTATAGAAGTTCTTCCACTCGCAGCAGAACTAAAAAAAAGCCTGGTTTTCTTCACACTCGCATATTTCTTCCTTACAGTCTTACCCTGCATTGTAGTAAAGCCAACACACACACCTCAATTATCTCTAGTCCTCTCTCCTGCCCCCCCAACAATTTCCCCCACTGGCTTGGTCAACTTACAATTGTGATTTGAAAAAGAGGCAGTCATAACAGTGAGAGCAGTCATCTTTTGGCACAAAGAACAAGTAACTTGAGCTCACCATACTTTGTCATCTCTTTTTGAATGATCTGTACTACCCCTTTACTTTTGAATAATGCATGCTGTGTTTGATGAAGGAATAAGAAGACCCTTAAATTCCTAGATATAGTATGGAGTTCCTAGTATAAAGTACTGTTTCTGATTCAGGGAAAATAAAAAAAAGAAAGAACGAAAAAAGGGGAAGTAGCATCACAGATGAACTCGCTGCTGATTTATACCTTCCTACAATGCTAGTTCTGCAATATGATTGTTTCTCTGCAGTAGCAAACTTCAGTCAAACTTTCAATAGCAAATAAGGCCTTCAATCTCACTATTTCTCACCACACTCTGTATTTAATTTTCATAGTCTGCTGATTTAAATATAGATGCACGTATTCAGTAAAACTAACTTGACAAAACCTAATTGAGGTAAGAGCAGCATGGTTTTTTTCCTCAGCTCCTTAGAGCAACTGTAGAAGAAACCACTGTTTACAGAGTGTCTTTAGTTAGCAATGAAACTGTTAGCTATCACAATAGCAAAGATTCCTTTTAATGCAGAACAACCCCTTTCTCTCTTCCCTTCTACTGCATTTATGACTTCCACATATTAGCTAAACTTACAGTCTAATACAGCAAGCTTGCATTTTAAAAAGCGAGGTGCAAGGAATACAAAACTATAAGGTTGCTTCAAGACAGAGCTTCAAAATAAGTCCTGTATAAGCTAAAAGACATGGACAGCTTCTTCCTGGCTTCTAACCTACCCTAATCAAACTGCCTTGCACAGGTTTTCTCTGCATTTCCTTTAAACACGACATCATACCTACCCTAGCAAATCGGAGAAGTTTCAGCCATCATTAAACATCTTTACTAGCAATGACAAAAAGAGAACAGAGTTTAAACTACTAAACTCTCAGAAATGCCAACAGTCTTAAACCCATTGCATCTTGAAACACCATTACCAATACAAGATTCCATTTAGTAACGCTACTTCCACAGGTGTACCAACAGACAATAGTTACAAAACAAAAATGCCAGAGAGTTTTACCAGCCTGTCAGAAAGGCGAGTAAATTGTGTCCTCCATCAGTATTGCACTCTGCCAATCCATTTTCCAACCCTTGATTTCTTTAAAAAAAAAAAAAAAAAAAAAAAAGAGAAAGTTTATGTTGTAACATACAAGCATGTTCTTGTAAACCAGTATCATCTCTTAAGACAGTAGCTGAAAAGTGAAACACTATCAACATGCATGCTTTTCAAAACATCATGTCCACACCCACTTCGTGGGTCATACCTAGCTTAGAGCACCAATGGAAATGCTTCTACTTCTCCTTACAGAGTTTCCCAGAGAGTTCAGGAACTTAACCTGGAATTATTTCAGTCCTGGGAGATCATTACCTAACAAAAGCTAAAAAGGCCACCTAAATTAAACAGTCATAAGGGAAAAAGGAAATGAAAGCTATTAAAGTAAATGTAGAACAGTTCTTGGCAAGAAAGCTTACCTATATCTCCAATGTAAAGCTCAGAAGCATGCTATCGGGTAGTCAGGAGAAGCAAGAGTAGGCTGGGCAGCTGCAGCAACTAGAAGCTATACTTTACAGCCTCTTAGTAGCAGAAGTCTTCCACAGCATGGTAATTAATTTCTTGCCATTCCAGGCACTAGTATTAGGCTAGCATAGTTACAAACTCTAAGTCGACTTTAATACAACACTTACAAGTGTTCAGGCTTGATTGTCTACGGTGACAGCAGAGTGACAAGATCAAGATGGCTAGATCAGCCCACATCAAGAAATGAAACAGATTTGCCTCAAAAAGTAGTTTACAAAATGCTTTATGTTTTTTTCTTTCCAAGCTTTCTGTTGCAGTACCCCTGTGCATCTCTCTAGAAAACTGCCTGACCCTTTTCTTATGCATCCTACATGATCACACCAAGTACCTTCAGTTCTTCACAGGCTCTGTATTCTCCTCAACCCATTATAAAATATCTGCAAGTACAACTTAAATTGAAACAGTTAAGCTACTATAAGGGTGCAGGGTTTCTATCTCTTTTCACCTTGTCACCAACAAAACAATTTTATGAATTGCAGAGCACCTTTATGAGTATCACAGTTCAGATTCTCATCTGACCTGCCACTAAAATAACGCACATAAAATTCACAAGTATCCTACCAAACAATAATCAGTAATAATTTTTAAAAAGCACACTACCTAGTACTAAAAAGACTCGTAACAACATATTTACCCCATGCCTAATCGCTCATACTGTATAAAGGAAACCCATTTACAATGGAAGATACATACATGGGATGCTCCTTAAACATTAAGTTCATCTCAACATTTTTTTTTTTAAATTCAAGACTTTTTATCCACAAACTTAATTCTTCTGTGAAACTCTGGAAGACAAGTATTTAGGATTATTTTGAAAAATACCAAAAAAGTATTTCCAGAAGAATGTTCTAAAGCATATACAGATAATAAAATTTCTTTAATTGGTTTCTCAGAGGCCCACATTCTATACAGGAGGCAGGAAACGGCTAAACTGATTTGACACAAGGCAAGAATGGAGTGATAGTTTTGTAAACAAAAAAAAAAAAAAAAAAAAAAAAAAAAAAAGAAACTAACAAAAGAACATCTAAGTACTTCATAAAGCAGAATAACCAAACTTCCCGTGAGCCTTACTGACTTCAGGACATGCTAAACTTTCCACACAGGACACTCTGAAGTAATACCCAACAGCTTCAGACTAAAAGAGACCAACTTGAGAGACGAAATCTGACAGCACCACAACTCACTAAACTGATGAGAAAACAATCAGAATTTTGCAGGATCAAATATATATTGCCTATATGTACATAAATACGTGTGTGTACGTAACCTTAGACCTTAAAACAACTCAAACCACAAGCATTCCGTATTTTACCTACGCGTACCACTTCATTTCCTATTCTCACAAGACTTAAAAATCCCGTATGCCACTTAGGTACAGAGCACTGAAGCCACGTACCTGCGCCATTGAGGTCCTACACGCAAGGGATGTGTCCCCTCTTTTCTCCAGTTTACTGGAAACGATGTCTCCACCACTACCAGCCGCCACCCTACCCCTCAAAGCGACCCCTTCTCCCAAAGCCGTGGGGTTTGGGGGCCCAGCAAGCCCACCTGCCCCTGAAG